TGTGTGTGTGTGTGTGTGTGTGAGGTGAAGACATGTTGACATAAACTCGCTCACGTAAAAACGAATGTGTTGATCTACCTTTGTAGCCCGGGCTGCACACACACACCAGCTGGTTGGTGTAGGACAGGAGGTAACAGCTGTCTGCAAACTGGCGTCCGCTGCGGGGGCCATCGGGACACATGCAGGGGCGACAGTGGCCCCCTGAGCCCAGCTCTGGGTCCCCGTGGTAACCGTCCAGGCACCTGGACGTAAAGGGACAGTTAACAGAAAAGACCCCTCTGATTTAAGGCCCGCCTGGAGGGAACGGGTGTCGTAATGTCAGTGATTTCACAACACGCGGGTCCTGAGGAATGTCAGGAATGTTTCCTTTGAGCTTTTGACGTCGTTTCACTAGAGAATACGAGTTCCTGCTCCTGCCCTCGTCATAGAAGTAGAGTTAACCACCAGGTCGTACCTCTCGCAGTGCTGTCCGGTGGTGAATTCCCTGCAGCCCTGGCACTCTCCGGTCTGCGGGTGGCAGTGCTCGCTGTGGCCGTTGCAGTGGCAGGGTCGGCACTGGGGGAAGCCCCAGAATCCCGGCAGGCAGTGGGAACACTGGCGACCCGTGGCCCCGGGGAAGCACTCGCACTGGCCGGTGGACTCGTGGCAGAAGGCGCTGATCGAGCCCCGAGGGTCACAGTCGCAAGCTGGAAATGTGTGAATCATCGCACTGGTGTTTTGTTGCTGGTTTAATTAAATATTAAATTTATTTAACAAACTGAACACACGCGTCCGACACTTACGTCTGCAGCCGGCGGGGCCGAACAGGAACGTGGCCGGGGCACAGTGGTCACAGTTCCTGCCGACGACATTGGGTCGGCACCGACACTGACCTCCGCTGGACTCGCACACGGCACTGAGTGAACCCTGAGGGTCACACTGGCATGCTGGGAAATAATATGAGGGAGAGAAAAAGAGGGGATGAGAATATTGTTGATGAAAAAGATAACGATCAAAGTCGCACGACTCTCGTACCCATGGCTCCGTTGTGCAGCAGAGCAGAGACGCTGAAGATGTAGTCGCTACAGATGTCGGTCATGGGGCTCTTGACGACGCTCTGGCTGCTCTCCAGACATCTGTAGCGCTGGAACGTATCCCACGCTCCCGAGCCATCGATGCCCAGGAACATGTTCAGCTCCCTAACCCGAGGAATCAGCACCAACTACAAGAGACGAAGGAGGTCAGATGGAAATCTCGTGGTTATGTCACATGTCACGTCATTAATGGCACCTTATTAATATGAAGTGCTTGAGTGTGTGTGTGTGTAAACTGAGCGTACTGAGTCGATGAGTGTGTACGGGCTCTGGACGTCGCTGACTGACGAGTACAGCGGCAGACTGAGACGGATCGTGTAGTTCAGGCCTCTCTCGAAACACACCGGCCTGTCCAGCAACACGTGTCTGAAACACAACAGGGTCAGAGCGTGTTGTTTACGTGTTGTGAACGACGGCAGACACACACACACACACACACACACACACGCAGACTGTGACGTCGTCTCACCTGGATCCAGGTGGGAGAGAGATGGCCTGTTCGTCTCCAGCCTGGATGTAGTTACCACATTGACTGATGTAGTTCGGAGGGTTGAAGACGGGACGCTGGACTCTG